CGCATTCCGTACTGGACAGGATTTGGGGACTGACTTTGTAAGTGGCTTCTATTGCTGTGTTCTGATGATTTTTTATGTGTTTATGGCTCGCAATGATATAAAATAAGGTTTAATATTGGGGGTGAGATGCTCAAGTAGTGTGGAAGAGGAGAGACTCTTACTGGAGTGTTCTGTGGTTAAACTAGATGGGTAATGTGCTTGAGGGTAACTTAACCCTACAGATGCAAAACAAAGGTGTGCACATTTCAAACTTGTAGTAACACTGTGTGCCTCTGCAGAGGAGGTGGCCAAGCTGGAAAAGCACCTGATGCTTCTCCGCCAGGAGTATGTAAAGCTGCAGAAGAAACTAGCTGATACCGAAAGGAGATGCAATCTTCTGGCTGCCCAGGCTAACCAAGACAATGCCAGTGACACCTTCATCAGTCGACTTCTTGCCATTGTAGCTGAACTCTATCAGCAGGAGCAGTACAGGTGAGAAATTGCTCTTTGGGGAAAGGGGCATTACAGGAACCTTTGACTCTGACTGCAGTAGGTACTAGTTTTTCTCTATTGCCTGGTATGAATAGGGTCCTCAGTTGCAATTGCAGGTGGAAGAGTATGCTAAGATCAGGTAGCATATTCAATTCAATTCTTGAATCGAGATTCAGTATTCAATATCTGAATTCAATTCTTGAATCGAGAGCTCTAAGCGGAAGTTTATCTGAGACTGCGATTTAACAGTACAGGTGAGAAATTGCTCTTTGGGGAAAGGGGCATTACAGGAACCTTTGACTCTGACTGCAGTAGGTACTAGTTTTTCTCTATTGCCTGGTATGAATAGGGTCCTCAGTTGCAATTGCAGGTGGAAGAGTATGCTAAGATCAGGTAGCATACTGAATTCAATTCTTGAATTGAGAGCTCTAAGCGGAAGTTTATCTGAGACTGCGATTTAAGATACGTTTAAGGAAAACTGACAGTTTTCACTGCCAACAGCAAAGCTCCCCTTGAACAGAAGTAATTTTAAACTGATGTATACCTAGTTGATGGATTAATTACATGATGTATCTTCTGTCAACTGGAAAGCCCTCCTTTCTTGAAAGGATATGTCCTTGAAACCAATTCTGTACTTTTCTTGTGTGTAAAGAAGCCTGATTAAATTGGCTTGTCTGGTGGTATGATATAACAGGTCTTAGTGATGTGTGTCACTTAGTGCTATAAATGATATTGTATCCTTGAATCTCACCACAAAATTAGGTTTAATGGTTTCTTTTGCATAGGCACTTTAAGGATCACCTTCAATACTTTAAATCCCTTAACTGATTTTGTTCTGAGACTACAATGACACTTATCAATTTCTTTGCTATTACTGAAAGCAGTGCCAATATAGTAAAGGAATTTAGTCGCGTAAGAGGAAAATATATAGTTTTGATTAAAATTTCCTTCTCCTAACATCTCCTCATGACCCTCCCTGAGAAGAGGCTTTGTGCCTGGCAAGAACTTACTACAGCATGTTGTGTAAAAGATTTGTTAGGTAACATATGTCAGAACAGCTGGATTGCTTTAAAACTCAAAAGCTGAACAGAATTGAAGGCATAGAATAGCGATCTGGTTATAAAAGGAGAAAGGAAGCAAGTCCTAATGCAAGTTCTGTTTAAGTAACATCTCTGTATTTTGCATTTTAGTTTATAGCATTGCTTTGATTTAGAAAATGGTCTGGAAAAGACACCTACATAGTCAGAACATTTACAAGCTATGGCATTTTAAAATAACAGGGCAGGTCCTTTCTAACTACAAAGGATAACCTGGTGTTAAAGGGGTCAGAATGAAATTGAAGTGTTCTTGACAGCTGGTCTCCTGGGAACTGGGGGTTCTTGGAGTCTGCCTTGTATTCAACTACTGTCAAACACCATTTGTTCTCTTGCTGGTCTTGCCTGAAACCATTGGTGCTTAGCTGACAGTATTAGTATGGACACTGCAACATAAATATTTAACCTCAAGATTGTTGGATTTTCCTATCTTCTACAATAGTTCCCTTGCAGATTATTCAGAAATTTTTAAAAAACCCCAAGCACATACCTAAACACTTCAAATATTAATGCGTCATTGCACTTCTCCCTAGAAAAATAATAATTGTGTAATTTGGCGACATGTTCTACTTAACCAACTAAATGTAGTTTGCCTCAAACAACTTGAACCTAAGCGTGGATACCAGACATAGATACTAGAGATGCTGAATCCATGCATATCTAAGCACAGGGGAAGCCTGCATTATACATGTATATGCTTTTTTTCTCTTACCAGTGATCTGAAGATAAAGGTTGGGGACAAACACATCAGTGCTCACAAATTTGTCTTGGCGGCACGCAGTGATGCTTGGAGTCTTGCCAACCTTGCCTCAACAGAGGAGCTGGATCTGTCAGGTCAGTCATTGCTTAGCAGTATGATGCTTAGGTTGACTTTAGGATGACTGATGAAAGGGCCTGCTGGGAAAAGGTTCCTGAGGTACCTTTCAGACTTCTACCATCCCCAAAAAGTGGTGCTTAATCCATTAATTATGGAGCTCTGTCTCTGAAACATGGCAGTACGCCTGTGAGCTCTGTGCTAGTGCTAGTTAAATCAATAACCGACCTTCTTTCTCTTTAATGAACAGGGGTTGAGAATGGTGGCCTGTTTGTCTTTTCTAGAGTCAACTAAACATAATGAAAAACAAATCTATATGGAGGAGCTTGACTTCTTCCTTTCTAAGGACAGGGCTTTTTGAGGTAGTGTGCATAATTTCTCTGCAGTGTGTGTCATGGAAATATCTTGCTTCTTGTTAACTTAGTGTGTGTGGGAAATGAATACAAATACTGATATGTTATTAAAAAGTTATTTGCTTTGGCACTTTGATACCTTTGCAAAATAGGGAGGAAGAAAAGTTTTCTAAAAGGCTGTCTTCTATGAGATGGTGTTTTGTTCTGCTTTAGCTGTTTCTTGCATGTACTTACACTGGGCAATATTTCTGCAGATTGAACCTCTTGACAGGCTTTTCTTCTGTACTTAACAGTATAGAAGAGTCTTATACAGTTAATTTGTGAGCAATAAAAACAGGCATGAAGTTAAGCAGGTTTGCTGGCTGGCATGTTGGATATTAAGCATTGGTTTCACTTTCTGAGCTTAATCTTATCATGAATCGTAAGTGCAGACAGACTGGAAGGAAGCAAGTCACAGCAAGCTAGTTTTATGAGACAGTGCAGGCTTTCTTGTAAAAGGATTTATGGATCTTTCTGCAGCTGCAAGAAGACAGATGCCAAGGAGTTTTTAAATTGAGTGCTATGCTATCAGAAGATTATTACCCAAAGCTCTTTTATTAATTGTAATTTTGTTGTAGGTGGCAGTCCATAGCATTTGTAGCTCCACATTTAAGCTAGTCTGAGAATCTCGAATGTAAATGCAGTCTTGCATGTTTAACAATGCAAATACTTACTATTATAGAATGAGGCTTAAAATAAGTGCTAGTAAATGATACTTTCCACTGTGTAAAATAATTTTTTTTTTAGAAAATTTGTTACAAGACACAAGGGTTAGGTTGTGAAATAGTCATAGCAAGCAACAAGCTGTTTCCTAAAAACAGTCATGGTTTTCTTAAGATCTTGCAAGTTAAGATTGTCTAAATTGTAACTTCAGAATACATGTGACATTTAAAATCAAATGTTTTCAGAGTTCATGTAATCTGCAGAATTTTCCACTCCTATAGAAGAGCTTCTCTTGTTGGGAGGGAGAAAATGAACTCTTATCTCTGCCAAGGCAGACCTGATATTACAGCTCAAGTCAGTTTTCTGATTACTTCAAGTGCAGCAAAAGATACTGGGATTACTAAAACCTCCTGTTTCTTAGGAGGCAGTCTGCATGCTATGCCAAGTACTGTCTGGTACTCAGCAAATACTCTGGAGCAACCCTCCATGTAAAGGAGATGTTTTAGCATGGGTATTTCAGTGTCTTAAACATACATGTTTTCATTTAAAACCAAACAAAACAGCTTAAGGGACTAATGTTATTTTTCTAAATGAATGTTATTTTTTTCATTGTTGTAATTGGTCTGATCTTGTGTTGTGGAGTAATTCTCATACTTCTGACTGACAAAGGTCCCTGGCCATTGGGCTTGGGTGTATCATGTCATGTGGTGTGGGTTTCTAGTTTTCTTTCTGTTTAAAAACATCAGGCTTGTGATCAGGTTGTAAACACCTGAAATCTAACCAGCTTAAACTGACTTTTTTTTTGTACCTTTCCTAGAAATGGTTCCTAGCAGTCTTAAGTACTTTGTAGTCATTACCAAGGTCTAGGTACCTTTACTGGAAAGCAACAGTTTGTAGCCTATGGGTGTAATAAAAAGAGAGAGGATTCTTAAATCAAAAAGGGGATTTGGGCTTGTCAAATGTAGATGTGGATTTAGCTGTGTGTGAGGGACCAAAGACTTTAAAGGGCCATCACTGACCACTGAATATGCAATACTTGTATAACAGGTAGGAGGTGTTGTAGGGCTCTCTGCATTCTGCACAGTGTTCCAACGGTAAAAAGTTTTCCTGCTTGGTGCCAGCATTGTTACTAGCTTCAACTTCTGACCAGTTTTGCATCTTTGACATTTTGATTGGACTAAAGCAGTAAAGTTTCAATGAGACTGTCTTTTTTTTTTTATGGTAGCTGTGACTTTAACAGTTGGAGAACTAGCAACTACTTGAATAGGTGATTGTTCTTTGGGTATTTTATTAATCCCTGTTGCTCCCTGTACCAGATGCTGACCCAGAGGTAACCATGGCAATGCTGCGGTGGATCTACACAGATGAACTTGAGCTAAAAGAAGATGATATCTTCTTGACAGAGCTCATGAAACTAGCTAATAAATTTCAGCTCCAGCTGCTTAGAGAAAGGTGAGTCTTTGTAAATACAGTGAATCTTCTTGAACTCTTCAACCTTGTTTGAATAGAAGTAAGATGATGGCTGCTGGCAATTGGATTAAATTTTGCTTTTCAAAGTCTTGAGGTTATCAGTAATACAGCATGATGTTCAGTTGATCACAGGAAATGAAGCCTTGCACTACAGTTAAACTGTAGCAGTTTTTCTCATAGCTTTTATGTTTACTTTCCAGTTCCTCTCCCAGTCAAACTAATAACCCTAATTTGGTATTAGGAGGAAGTAGAGATCAGTATATTAGTAACAAGCTCTGCAGAGTTGCAAGAAAGGAATTGTTAGAGAGACTGCTAGGAAAAGTCAATGGCAAGTAGCTTGCAGTATTAAAATATCATAGGTAAAAAAATTTTAACTTTAACTGTTCTTCTGTGTATCTTGGTGGCAACTTTTCTTCATAAAGAAGGTTAATGTAACAGTACAATGCATTGCCATTTTGAGGAGATTGATTACACCATTCTAGAAGGGGCTAGGTTGTTCTCTTGAACATACAGAGTTCTCTAAATAACCATTTAGAGTTAGTGAAAAGCCTGAATGTACAAATTGAAACCTCTTGAAGTTGTACGAAACTTGAAAGCCTTGAATTTAGTGAAAAATAAAGTATCCTTTGATAGAATAATCTGTTGCCCAAGGAGTGTCTAGGGCTGTAGTGGTACATGGCACTCATAATCTATGATTTAAGTTTGACTCAACATGGAGCAAACCATGCTGTCAGTTCTTCCAACCAACAAGTTGACATCTGTAAGGCCAATGCTAAAACTGCCTTCAAGCTTTGTACCAGTCTAAAACTGTTTTCATGTTGTACTAACTAAATGTTCCTCAAATGTTGTCTGGTCATGGTAGTCTAGTGACAAGTCCACGTACAGTGTGCTATTAGTAATTATAGATATCTTGGTATATTTGCACCTGAAGACAAGTATTTCCATTTTTTGGTCTTAATATCTGCTTGGAGATCACTGGCATATTTAACTTCGTCTTCATTTTGAGGTACTTGGATTTCCTTCCCATAAACTCAAACTAATAGCTTCGCACCTATAAAGATTATAGGTGTTAATCTGGTGTTAATCAGGTGGATCTCTCGTTAAAGATTATCCTTTCTCTTTGTTAAATAGCTGTATTTGGCATGCCTTTTTCTAGCTTTGGCACAAAAGCTGCTTGCGATCACTGTAGTACTGGTAAAGACAGATATCTTCCCTACTTAGTAATGGTGAATGAACTGAAGTTTGTTCCCCTGGGAGAACTAGGGTGTCTGTCTCCACTTGCAGGCTCCTGCAGTGTGTGGTGTTATGGACCTTAGCTTGGTGGACTCTAGCAGGAGTCTGCTCTTATGGAAACTGTCCTACAGGGCTTCTGATTAAATTATCTTTATGATGCTTAGCCTTATAGTAAAGCAAGGCCAAGCCATTTTCTACTGGTGTGTAGGAAAAGGAGCATATAGGACCCTGTTACAGCATGGGAGGGTGATTACAGTAAAGCCATTTACTGATTACTAAACACTGGCTTTCCTATTTTGACAGATGTGAAAAAGGAGTTATGTCATTAGTTAACGTCAGGAACTGCATTCGTTTCTATCAGACTGCTGAGGAGCTGAATGCTAGCACTCTTCTGAACTATTGTGCTGAGATAATTGCTAGTCACTGGGTAAGTACTGTCAGAAGGAAGAAGAAAAATGTTTGCAGAGTATAGGAACTTAATCAGTAGAATTTTGCTTAGCTTACTGTACTGTTGAACCTCAGGAGTATCTCTTGGTATGCTAGTGTTCAAGCATTCCAGTTTGGGTGAGGATTACATGGATTCCTGATAAATATGTCCCCTCAGCTTTTCCCTTCCCAGCTGTTTTGGTTATCTTTTATAATATGTGCTTTTGATGCTGCGTGTTACTTGGTATTTGCTACAATACCAATTCATAATTATGTTGAAATAAAGCACATTAAATGGCTCCTTCTCCAGGATTTTTTTGTTATCTTTACAGATTATGTTTGTCTGTCTTGATGTGAATGGCTTGACGGGGGGGAAGTAGCTTACAGCCTGAAGAGTTGTTCTGTTCATTGGAAATACCTCACTATAAAAAGCAGCTTACTTTCCTAAACATGAGCCAAACCAAAGGGACTGTATTCTAATACGCAAGAGTTGTTTATCAGGTCTGGACTCTGAACTGTTTAGAAGTTCATCCATAGTTGGTCTCTGTCTATACAGATCACAAATCCCATGCCTGCGTTTACTTCTAAAAATAATCCAGGGAAGAGTCCATCTTCCGTAATGGAGCGAGTGGCAAGGAGTCTTGCAACCTACTTGGAAGTTTCATTTGCTCTGATTTGTTGTTTTGAGGAAAGTTCGATTAACTGTGTAATGGATTAGCCTTTAAAATAAGACTTGTCAACAGCAGGCTAGTGCATGAGGATTTAGGTTACTCTAAATCTAGAATGTATCATCCAGATGTGCATGTTTGTTTGCATGACCAATGCGGAAGCAGAGTGGAGTGCTTTGATGTGTGAATATAAAAAAGATTCATGTATCTGAACATGCAGGTCAGCCATTTCACCTTTTTCCTTCTTCTGGCTCCTAATTTTTGACACTGTACTCTATCTGGAAATGAGGATGTTTCTGTTTACTCAAATGAGCACTAACTTAAACATAAGGTCTTTCTAATTCTGAGTTTCTGTTTGCAGAACTCTGAATAAAAGCAAAGTTCTATAGAGTTGTCAGAATAGTTGTAGACCTTTTTGTCAAAAAAACTAACTTGTGATTTAAGTCCAGATAGAGAATTAGTTTTAGAAACTAAATGTTAGTTTACTGCGGTGTCTGGTAAAATGCTAGTTTTCCATGTGTGAAGACAAAAGGAAAGAAAAATTCCTCTAATCTTGAAACTGAAATGGAAGATTTAGCACTTCCCAAGTGTTTCTTCCTAGTGTTAAAAAGCTATCTTGGATTGTTCCTGCTTGTGCTGTTAAAGATGGAGCTTTTAACTGAACTTGTTCTGTGAGCTTCGTAATTGCGTTGTGCAATGCCTTGTTTATAGGAGTGTTGCTTACCCTTTTCTTTTTATTGCTTCTAGGATGACTTGCGTAAAGAAGACTTCAGTAGCATGAGTGCTCAGTTATTGTATAAAATGTTCAAGTCAAAGACAGAATATCCTTTGCATAAGGCTATTAAAGTTGAGCGAGAAGATGTTGTCTTTTTGTATCTTATTGAAATGGATTCACAGGTATAGTGAGACTGACTTAATCTGTCTTCTAGAATTTGGTGTTTCAAATAACTAGTTTCTAACTACCACTCTGAACCTTGTTATTGATTTTTGTCATTAATTCTTACTTGGATGTTTTATCATTGCCATAGCTACTTCTGTGTATGTAACGAAGTCTAGTTGTAAAGGCTCCATAAAGACATATTTCAGAAGTGATTCATAACACTTCTAAAACATCTTGCATACAACACATCATAGCTAATAAAATCCAGTACTTGATATTGCTATATTGCTATGGACATTTAAGGTTGAATGGTATAATAGTCATCTTTGCTGCTTCATGGCAGTTCAGCAAGCATCACTTCTTTGAACAAATGCTTTTCCTGTTCTATTGAATGTTTGAAATAACAGGTATTTGTTCTGTTTGGATGAATACTCTAAACAGCTAGCAAATAAGTTGTCCCCCAACAAGAGGTAAGGAAGAATTATTCAAGTATTAATTATCAAGAATTAAACAATTAGTCCTTTAAGATGCCTCAAATCCTGATTGGAAGCTGGTACTAGAGCAGTACTTAGCACCTGTAGGTGCTAATCCAGTTGGGATTTGAGTTTCTTAAAGAAACAACTGAATAATTCTTCCTAGTACTATGTTATATATAGACAGCATCTTTTAAGAGTGTATTAGTCTTGCTTCCTGTGAGTTAAACAAGGCTTGCAAACAGAACTCCTGTTTTCTCGTTGAACAGCCCTCTGGGTAGACTTGCATGTTATGATGCTAGTCTTCTGATCGTTTTCCTGTGTAAGATGTACTTAGCTAAATGCAACACTAGTATTTTGCATTAGAGCTGAAGGTCTAATATTGTGGTAGGTGGAACAGGCTGTTAAAATATTTTATTGGGCTGGTGAGCATACCTCTAACTGAACTTCTGTTGTAGCTTCCTGGGAAGCTTAATGAATTGGATCACAATGGAGATCTTGCTTTGGATCTAGCCCTTGCCCAAAGATTGGAGAGTATTGCAACTACATTGGTCAACTACAAGGCGGATGTAGATAGGGCAGACAAGAAAGGCTGGAGTCTATTACATAAAGCCATCCAAAGAGGTAAGTAAATAGCATAGGAAGCCTCGTTAACTGTGTTTGTTCCCAGTGTAAAAGATATATTCCAAAGTCTATTCCTGTGTCACTTTGTTGACACCTCAGTTGGAAAATTGTAGTCAAGGATGAACTTTGTCCTATTTCTTAAACTTAAAAACAAACTTTTACTTGGGATCTGAAAACTAGCCTGCTGGCTGGTGAACTAGCTTATACTATGTGACATCCAGAAGCAATCTAGTAGAGTATTGTTTGCTAAAGGAAGAAATGTAGGGAGATACTGAGAATATTCTAATTTGATAACATAATGTCTTCCTGTCAAATAGTTGAATCAAGTATAACAGCCTAGTCACAAATAAGTGAAGCCTTTTTCTAGACATGGATTGAATGAAGCATTATGCTTCTTTGTGATTATGGTTAACAGCAAGGATCCTTGCTACTGGACAGCAGTCTTAGGGGAGGAAAAACTGGCTGGAAGAAGATGAAGAGCAGGTGGAGGTGCTTCTATGCCAGACTGAATATCTTCAGAGCCGCTGTGAACAGTAGCATAGTATCAGTGGAGTCTGAGTACAACTACATTATCTTGAGCTGTTCTCCACCTTAGAGTGAGAAATCCATCTTATGAGAAGTGGAGCGCAACAGGACTTGGTTGCTGTGGCCACAGTACTCCTAAGGCTTTGGAGCAGCAACATCTTGGCCTATAGCTGAAGTCGGTAAAAATCTGTAGTGACTGTCTTGTAGCTACTAGTTGCCTGTAATGATACCTTTGGCAGCACTGTTTCAGAAGGCCAAGCACAACAGGAGCCTTACCTGTGACTGGACCTCACGGGTATTATAGTGCTACAAATTAAATGCGTAAGTTTATTTTTAACAGCAAGCTCTTTTGGACTCTTGGAAGTAGTTTAAGTTTTGTGAGCTCAAAATACAGCTCCCAATTGTTTCCTTTAATCTCTTACATATCTAAACAGGATAATGCTGCTGTCTGATCCTGTGAATGAAACTTCAGCAGCAGGAGTAGGAGACCTTCTAGGCATAGGTCAGTGTTGTGATGGCTGCAGCCCTATAAAGCTCTAGAAAGATTGCAGCAGGCTGCTCTTCATACTTAATACTAGCATTTGCCCTCTAGTTCTAATGTCTGCTTTCAGTCTAAGCTAGAGCTCTGAGAATGAATGCTTCCTTTTCAGTAACCACAGCTTCAGTGAATTACTGTTAACAATCACATGTTCTGGAAATTGAGCTAAAGCAAATTGTCTTAACTTGCCACATGATTCTTATTTCTTATGATTATTGGAGAGTTGAGGAATGTCAGATGTGGAAACCAGAAAATGGGATTCTGTTTTTTTTGTGGGCAGAGATAATATAGCAATCTATATTGCTTATACAGGCAAACAGTTGTCTTTTCTCCAGTGTTGCATTCAGGACAAGCAACTTGTGAATAAGTCTATTCAAAGTAGGTTTGGAGTCAGGGGAATTACTGTTATCATGAAGTCGTTGTCTGCATCTTGGTGTTTCAAGTCCAAAGTTTCATGTGCTGAAGTGGGCCTAAGTTCTGACTTCTGAGA